GGTCTTGGCCTGTGTCGTGCATTTCCCACCCAGGCCCTCAATGTGCCTTCTTCTCTTCAGACCCTGCTTGCTCACTGGTCATCCAGACCTCCGGGCTGGTGGCCCAACCTCTCCTCCTGCCCTTCCAGACTCCGTAAGTCTGGAAAGAGATGGAGAGGTCCCTGCTGCTTTAAATAGCATGACACCCGCAGGATGGGGCGCTGGTGGCTCAGGGGTTAAGCACTTTGCTGCTAACCCTCCAGAAGCTCCCTGAGTTGAAGATCTGCACCCATAAAGATTACAGCCTCAGACACCCACAGGAGCAGCTCAACGCTGTCCCAGACGGGTCGCAGTGAGCCAGCCCAGCAGCCACACCACCCTATGGGAACAAAGTTGTGTTCTTTTCAATTCCCTCAAACCTGCTTCCATCAAGAAAGATGTCCTAGCCTAGTTATGGTTTCTGGCTAACACGTCTATACTCATTTTAGTAATCCCTTTTAACAGAGCAGCTTCAGTTTGTAGCAATGTAAACCTCCATGCTTTCTTTTTCATGCTTTTTTCTTAAGAAGTTTTTTTCCACTTCAAAGATTAGAATGATATTCTTCCATGTTTTGTTTTTTCTGTTTCTGCCCCACCAACAGTTTTATTGGCATACAATTTACATATCATACAATTCAATAGTTCCATCATTCAATCATATCAAGAAAAATTGTACAATCATTCCCACATAAATTTTAGAACATTCCCTGCCCCTCATGGTTAAATCACCTTTAAAATGAATTGTGCAATCACAATCAGTTCTAGTGCTCCCCCCCCCTTCTTTTCCCCCAATCCTCATTTCTTGCAAATGTTCTTAAAGCATCCTGGGCGAGTAGACGTCCACAGGCCCACCTGGAGCCCTTAGAAAGCTCCAGACAGACACTCAGAGTCGGGACCCTGGGGCAGAGCCTGTCCGAGGGGCCACGGGAGGCCTGTGGCATGATTTAAAGAAAAAGATGGAAGATGTGAGCTTTGAAGAAGTTGCAAAGAGTTACTTAATGGGCATGCGTCAAACCGGAAAAACCCCAAACTGGCCCCGGGCGGCCCTGAGGGTACAGAGCAGAGCTGTACCACAGCATTGTCAAGGCTATGATCACCAGGCCTGTGTTCTGTGGCACCTCTGGGTGGGTTCAGGCCACTGACTTCAGTTAGTAGTCAAGGGCTTACAACATCCAGGGGCTCCCCGTGAGATTAACATAGGAGCCTTGGGCACCAGACATGAGGTGCTACCCCTCACACAGCCCGCCCCATCCAGGGTCCCCCCCAGAG